CAACACCCACCCGTCCCCGGGGCAGGCCAGTGCGTGCGGCCAGCGGGCCCGGGTGCACACAGGACACCTGTCCAGGCCATTAGCAGGCCCTGCGTCCGTCTGTCAGAGCCCCTGTACCCCCGTCTGTGAATGGGCCAAAGTCACACTTGGGACAGCAGGCCTGGCCAGCCTGGGACATGTGACAAATTGGCCATCTTCACACTCTTCCCTCCCCTTTTTTTTGTCGTCTGCTGGCCAGGTGACGTGACACCTACAGACGGCCTGCAGCCACCACACAATGGCTCCCGGGGCGTCGGAGGGACAGGAGCATCCCCAGGCGGGACTCTGCCGTCCACTACCCCCTCCCCAAAGCAAAGAAGTCACTGGCCGGCACCTAGGGCTCCTCCCTAAGGTCCCCTTGCACAGGCAGCTACTCTCTCCATCTCTCATGGGGTCGCCATGACCCCAAATTCTCATTTCCACCATGAATCTGCCGTTTAAAACAAACCCTCTTATGAACGTTTCTCTTCTGGAGCTGAGTCCTGGGAACCCTGAAACCTCGGATCACAGCCACGACTCCTCCAAGCTCTCAAGCAAGACATCTGCAGATGCACCCCACGCCACCCCGGAAGGCCTCCGAAAGTGCTGCCCACGGGGAGTGACAAGGAGGTGACGGAACGAGACGCACACACACCTACGACCTGAGGATGGTTGTGTCGCCACGCCGACGGCCATTCACGCGGCGGGAAAGAGCCGAGACGCGCTTGCCTGTGGGGGCGCCTAAGGGCACTCACGCGTCCCCGATGGGGGTGGCGCCCGGCGCACTGGGAGGAGGGGCGGGGAGGCGATGCCCTGAAGGGGGCGGGCCTTGGTGCCAGCGGAGGACCCGCCCACCCGCCTGTGGCGCATTCCGAAGGGGTCCGCATCTGAATGTGGGGTTGGGGTGAGCAGCGATTCCATGGTGTTGGGGGTGGGGGCGACCAGAGGAGGGGGTTGTGATGGGGAGCAGGGAGGCACAGGAGACCCCGCTGGGGGGGATGGAGGGGGAGCAGCCACGGCCCAGCCTCCTCACAGCTGTGCTACAGGACGGGCACAGTGACGCGCCAGCGCTCACAGACCCGTCACCCTCCGCTTACAGCCACCCCTCCCACGCACGTCCCCCCAACGGCCCGCTCCTCCTCCCACCCCATTTCTGCAGCGCCATGCGCCCCATCCCTGCAAGGACCGACGCAGCCGGCCCCTCACCTTCCCACGGCCCCGCCGAGGCACCGGCGCCCCCGGCCCCTCATGCTGTGCCCTCGTGTCAGAAAAACCCAAACGCCTCTGCCTCGAAGGCCTTCGGAGCCTGCGCACGCAC